TTTCGTTTTTAGGTTTGGATTTTTTTAAATATTTTAATCCCCATTAACCTCATATTTTTATTGATATGCTTGTTCTCCCTCATATATCTTAAATTTTTACAAAAATTTCAAGTTGGATATCATTTTTTCGTTTTTGACTCTTTGTGCGGATAAGAAACATGACATCGGACTGACGGACTGACGGACTGACGGATTGACGGACTGACGGACTGACGGACTGACGGACTGACGGACTGACGGACTGACGGACTGATGGACTGACGGACTGACGGACTGACGAACTGACGGAATAATGGACTGACAGACATTTTTAAAAGTTTTTTAAATTCGGATGAGAAGGATTTTGATACAAAAATGTTTAAATTTGGATCAATGTTAAAAATTTTGTTTCTCGAAAGTATACAATAATACTTTTCACTGATACTGTGTAAAGAATATAATGAGTACAGTGGGTTCTAGCAACAATTTAAAGTAATTATTTAAGGAGACAAAGGACATACATGTATAAAATATATATACAATAATATACATAATAATAATTATAAGAATTTAATATAACGTTATATTGTTTAATATATTTGGATTAAGTATATATTTAATTTTTTTATTTATTTTTTACTTTTTTTTTACTTTTTTATTTTTTAAACAACTAAGGAGGAGTCCGTTAATTACGTAAGGTATTTTTGAGGATTTTTTGACCTTGAGGATTTTTTGACCCCTCCACCCTCCTAGTGAGATTTCGAAAGATTTTCCTCAACTCAGTCCCCCTCCCCTAATCTCATGTGAGATTTTTCAAAATTTGGGTTTTGGGTGTAAATGCGTTGGATTATAAAAAAAATAAAAACACAATATGTTCTATTACTTTTATTTAAGACTAGCAAAGACTAGTATTTAATGGATCAAACGACTTACCTGAAGGAAGTTCGATCCTAATTATGCGAGCATCCTTGTTAGTGGAAATAAAGTCCCACCTCCACCATATTTATATTATTTTTTTCTTTTTTCCCCATAAAATAAAAATTGTTTTTGCCGAGCATAAATTGAGGTAATTCGTGGGGAAATGAAAATACTAATAAAGGCTGGGCTCGTTGTGGAGTCGAAGTTTTAGCATTTCGTCAATGAAAATTTGTATATTGTTAGCTTCCACCTTGACATTTTCAACTTAATTTTTGAGAAAGTCTATACCCGTTGGGCTGCAACAAGTTTGGCTCTTAGCTGTTTTAAGTTTTTCAAGTGAAAGAAACTACTGAAGTATTTTAAAACTGTGTTTTGATCTCAAGTTTGAATACATTTCGGCAAAATAGGATGACCCTTTTAGAAATTTCCTAATATATATTTTCTTTTATTATTCAGGATTTCTATGATTAAAGTTATGGAATATTTATAATGAGAGCTAGGGCAGAACTCTGGTCATAAGGAGTTGTAAATGAAGGTTTGCTGCAGTGAATAACTAGGTTTAATGTTGACATGTACCGTAAAAAGCATTTATTTATTTTTTTTGTAACATGGGATGGTTGAGTTTCCCATTTCCCATACAATCGAGTTCTCGCACACTAGATAAAAAACACTTTTTTTTTGTGATGAGTCATAGAGTTGTAAAGAATCAACCGTTGTATTACAATGTTTGAGATATTTATCACTAGATTTAGATGTAATTAGGAAATCATTAAGGTTATTTCCAAAAGCCTTAGTTGATGCACTACCGGTTGGTCTTGCAGCATATATAAATAGCTGTCGGTTTTATTTGATAACGTGACTAGTTACTAAACTTTTTGGTTCGGAGTTTAAGGTGGGGGACCCAAGTGAAAGTATTCCAGATTTTGATTTCGCAAAGAAACTTTGATATTTTGCCATTCTCCAGACTGTCTTGCAAATATTTTTCCAACGTTTTACCATTTCTTCGTTGATTGGTTTTCCGAGAGAGATATTGCTATTAGGATCCGCTTCCAGAATATCCTGATACTGAATTTGATCCTTTCTATTCGAACGTCTGTTCTGGTGAAGATGAAGAGTTTAATGTATATACTTCTTAGATTCCGAATCAACTTAAATCTATATTTAATCAATTCATGTGCACATAAAGGGGCATTTTTTTTTCAAGTTGCAGGATTTACCCATACAGTAACATAATCAATGAGCTTTGCGTAGCATTTTGGGTCCTTGCATTTTATAAGCATAAGACCAGAGTTACTAGACATTTATTTATCTATAATGCAGAATTTACATAGTACCTACATTCTGCTTCCAAAGTTTTTTGAAGTTTACATTTTAAGTACATAGCATTTTTCGCATTGCGGTTAGCCGGGTTAGCATCTTATAAGTATAAGATCAGATTTAACACCTAAAGCAGCCTCCTTTGTGCATTTATTTGTTTATAATGCAGAATTTTTATATAAAATATTATCTTTTGTGGCCAAAGTTGCGAAATTTACACATTAAGTAGAATTATTCGCGGTGCGGTTAGCTGGGCTAAGTATAAAATTAGAGTTAATACATAAAGAAGAAAACCATTCTCAAACCTGTACTAGTATAAGATCGGAGTTAACACATAAAGTAGCCTCCTCTGTACATGTCTTTGTCTATAATGCAGAATTTACACATAAAGTAGTATCTGCCCTCATCAAAGTTTTGCGAAATTTGCACATTAAGTAGCATTTTTCGTTTTGCAGACGGATTTTATAATTGACTGTACCGTTAACACATAAAGTAGTATCTTCTGCAAGCTAAAAATCAGTTAAATAAAAAGAAAAACATTATTCTCCTACCTGTGCTCTGAATTCCTTCATTTTTTTTTAGTGGCCGGTCGATGTGAGTCAGGCGACACAACAATTGGTAATGGGTAATGTAAACAGGCAGCGATAGAGAGTGACGTAAAATTTTAAATCTAAACATGTGGGTCAGCGGCGTAACATAGGTATACTACATGGTTATCTTTATTTGCACTAACAAGGATGTGAATCATCATTGAGAATATTGCCGTAATATAAAAATTCTAGAAACATTCTTTACTTTAATTTAACTTTACTTTCACTCAATTATACACTGTTTTCTACTAGAAAAAAATTACGTTATATTTACAAAGATCCCCCCTCTCCCCCAAATGAGATTTGCAAAGATTTAGCTTGATCTCCTTCCCCCTTTGAACACCTCAAGTAAATAGCAGTGACGGAAAATAATTTTCAACACTTTAATTTTTTGCTTCACAAGGAGAAAATCATTCTTAGTCCAGAGTGTTTGATATAATGCAATGCCTGTTGTGGTATTAGCCAAAGGAGTAGTTGTTTTCAGAAGGGAAATGGTCACTCGTAATTTCTGTGACACAGACTTTTTCCTCTGTTGTATATTTTTAAATTGGTCACATTCGAGAATTGGCGTTTATTTCTTTTTAAGGTCATTTTTAGGCAATTTCGCAAAAGCAAATTTTTCAATTTTATTTTATATTGTACAAAGTTATTTATATTTTTGAGACTTTGAGGTATTTGTCAATGAAGTTTAGATGCAATAAATTAAAATGATTTTTGTCCAATTGATTTTGTTACCTCAATGATTTTTGTCCAATTGATTTTGTTACCTTGGAGATTTCAAATTCCGATTTCTGTTTGTTTATTGTTTTATGCTATGCATATTTGAAATAAATTTTAATTTTGATTTATGTTTATGTTACAAACATAAGAATTTAAAGCAATGCAGTTTACATAGATTAACGATAGGAATTTCTTTATAAAGAACTTCCGTATGGAAGTGTTGGTAAAGTTATAAGGGAAAAACATTTTCAATAGCTGACCAATTTAAGCAATCGTAGTTTCCCTTTTGCATAAATAATATGTGGACGGAACAAACACACGCAATGGTAATTCTCAGAACTTTAGACATGTTACAATTTCAAAATCATTACTATTTGAATCCCTTATCTTTCATACGACATGCTGAAAAAGTTTCGATTTTCCAATGCATGCTATTTTCATCTACTACGCATGAAATAGTAATGACCTAGGTTAACAGAAAATCATGTATCTTTACTTTGTAAGTGATAAAAGTAAGTACATATATTTCAATTATTGTGTTCAATTGTGAATAATTCTATAGATATTTATTGCTATATATTAGCTTATTAAGGATTAAAAATTTAGAATTTACTTTAAAACCGACACAGCAAACTAGATAGCATAGTAATAAAAGTTATACAGGGTATTTCAGTGGGAAGGTAACATTTTTTAATTGTGGATGTAGTTTTTTACCTACATTTCACTCAACTGCATACCCTTATTCGAAATCCAATAGGTTTTAAAGTTTAAACCATTATAAAATTTATTGCACACCATATAGGTTAGTATTTTATCATTTATTTTTTTATATTTACTGCAAATTAATATTCTTTTTATCACAAAAATCGAGGAGTTATGTTTTTATCTTTAATTAGATACGTCACTGGTATCGACAGACTTTTAGTTGCTTGTGATAGCTTAAAATATCTTCTTGCTCTTTTCCAATAATTGGGACCAAACAAATGATACCTTATGAATGAAATGCTTCATCTGTTGTTTCTTTTATCTAACATTACAAATTACTTTCAAAGCATATAGTACGTTTGTTTATTATTAGAGTAAGAAATGATTAATTTTTCTTTTTTGAGATAGGTGACTAGTTACATATAATTGTTTTTCCATCTTTTTAAAAATAAGTGTAACTCTGCCCTAAAATCTATTTTTTGACATCCCCGTATAGCTAAAAATGTTCAAGGAATATAACAGTAAATTGGATTTTTTATTGTTGCGTTTCAGAAATATTAATTTCTCATGATTTTAAAACAAATACATGAAATTGCTAAAACGAACCTGCAAAAGCACTTTGTGTGCAATCTCATCAGTACTCCTGTGACGTAATGCACGAATTCAATTTGGCTTAATTTTGTCAATAGGGATTCTTGTTACAGGAAGTAGTTGTTTGTATTATAAAGCGGCCGGTCAATTCCCGACTAAACATCGGAACTCGAAATTTGATGTTGATCTATATTTTTTTGTCCATTGCTTTCCCTAGAGTGCGATTTCTCTCGCAGAATTTTTGATTTTTACTTTAATGTTTGTAACTGAATTTGAATTATTCTTTATGCGAAATATATTAACTGTTCCTGTTTTGTTTCAGATAAATCAACCATGGCTGTTATAGCAAATATAATACAGGATGTCAATAAATATTTAAATAAATACCAAGGTTAGTATACGATTTTAATTATTCTAAGCGTTCTATCTCTATAAATATTCTATAGATACATCTTTTAAATATTTAAAAGCTAAAAAGATTTTATATTTTTAAAAAATTTCCGATTGTTTAACTTGTAGAAAATTTTCTGCCAAATAATTGATTAATTATCAACTCAATCTGTCAAAAATAATTGATGAACAAAGAATATCAATTTTCTCGAATGTAGTCAAATTACTCCAAACGAATAGTAACAAAAACACAAAATAGGCACTACATAATATGTAATGTCTTTACTCAGTGAAGCGACGTACACCCGTATGCGTAGTCAATTCGTCAGCGATTCGTCAGCGATTTGTTGGCTGTATCGCTTGTAGTGATGCCGCGAGACGAGAGATTCCCGTCTCTCGTCTCGTCTTGTCTCGTCTCGAACGAGACGAGAGAGACATTTTCTCTCGAAAACAGATTCGAGACGAGAGAGTGTCATCTCTTGACGAGAATTTCTCGTTTCTCTCGGGATCTCTCAAACAATTTTCTCTTTGCATATTTGACATTTTTAATTGCTTATCGTAACTTAAATTTTTAACATATTAGATTTCGAGATAGTCAAAAAGTTAACTATTACACACCTATTCTATATATAATAAATGGTTACAAATGATACTTGTGTTATTAGGATTTTATAAAGAGGGATTAAAAAAAAAAATTCTCATTTCATTTATTTAAAATTTATACAATCATTTCTTATATTTAATCCATTCTGCTTCTCTGAGTTTACTTTTGAAGATAAGTTGAAAATTTTCAAGGGTTTTTTCGAAAAACTGTCAAAGAAAAGGTAATACAAACTAATGTATTATATACAGTAAGGACGAAAATTGTACCCTCCTCTATTTTAACTTCTAAATGAAAAAGGATAATGATAAAACAAAAACGAGGTAAAATTCAAGAGATATTATATTTTTGTTATAACGAGATGCACTTTACTTGAGACACGTAAGATAGAAGGAGTTACTAGCTTTAAATTTTCTAATGGAAAGTAGGGTCATGTGATACCTCATTTGACAGATATTTTCTATATTTTTACGTTCATTTAAACAGATTTAGGTTTTTATGTTTTTACAGAAATTACATTAAATAAATTCATAAAGTAGGTTAAATTCTTTTTTTTTATTTACCGCTTCAACCTCAAAGGATCATAATACCTTATAAATGCTTTTTTTACAATAGTATACAATGGATAATTAACATTTTAGCTACTACAGAGTAAATGTCAGTATCTTTTATAAATTTAAGTAATTTTTTACCGTTAGAGGGATTTAACACTGCAAAAATGACAATTTTTTGTAGCTGGTACTTTGTTCTTACACAGACATGTTCTGGGCCTTTACTAATAAGTTACATTCTTGATAACTCTCGTATTAACAATTATTGTTTATTACCAAGGAAACGCTTCTTGTTGTTACTAAAGTAAATAAATTAAGAATATCAAAGGTGATTTAGAAACCACTTGACATATTAAATTTTTCATGACTTCTTGGCAAAAAAAGCTTATTAAAAAATTCTCTTCTAACATTATCTAATACTTCTAGGATTATTGCGGCACACGAGGATTATCAAGAATGTAATTTTTGTAAAAACAAAAAAAATAAAACTGTTGAACTTAAATATAATCAAAATATCTTTCAAATGGGGTATTACATGATTTTTTATTTTCTTGCATTTTGAAAATATACTACAAAATGCTTTCATTTGACATCGCAAGATTGCATTAGAAAAATTCTAACTTCCAATTTGACCTCTTCCCCCCCTCCCCAACTGACTTACAAGACAAAGTATTTTCGTTTTTAGTTAACGCCTAATCTGGGCCACTTATTACTTCAAATTTCAATTGTAAAAAGACTGTGACAGACGGACAGACAGAGAGACATAAGTGTTTCTTATTGCCAAATTTTGGTACTAATGCGCAAATTACTTGTAAAATTCTTTGATTTTGTCTTACAAATTTTACCGTTTTTTCATGTTTCGCCATTTTCAAATTTAAATTTAATATTGTTTTATCACGAGAGAAACGAGACGAGACAAGACGATATCAGTTATCTTTTGCCCTACGAGACGAGACGAGAGAGGCCACAATATATTTAAAACACGATCAGATTTAAAAATTCACACATTTAATACTTGATTTTTATGTTCAAATATATTCTTATAAAATACATCATAGATTTTGCGCATGGTACAAATAAGAACAAATACAAGAGGTATTTGAATTAAAGTGTTTTCGGTCAAGCTGAATTTAGGAACGATCTTATTTAAATAACACTCCACCTCAACGGTACCAATGGGGAACGCGAGACCGAGGCACGAGACAGAGGAAAACGACATTGCAAGGCCTCCGAAAACGGTCTCTTAACGTCTTATTCACATGTAATTAAATGAAGAACATTTGGGACCGAAGGACTGATGGAAGAGATTGCGACAACACTTTCAACACGTAACTAAATGTATTGGTCCTTACGCGGTCTCTTCCCTTGGTCTCCTGCCTCTGTCTCCTGCTTCGGTATCCAAATAGTACCTTAAATATCATTTGTAATTCTATCTATTAAAAGTCGAAAATTTTAATATTAAATTTAGTTGACAGGCTCTTTATAACCTAGAAAACTTCCTAATCTAAAGTTTTCCATAACACTACAAATAGAATAGTGTTTCAAGAAGAAATAATTGCTATAGAATTGGGAGCAAGAGATTAATTTTTTTCGGTAACAAGAACTGCATAAATAGCAATAAAAAAGCAGTTGCCTTCGCCAAAGAGGAACCGAATCTGAGTTCATAGAACCAAAACCATTCCTGAGATCATTGCCAAAAGAATTATCTCAAAATTGACGGAAGGTGTAACACTCACAAATTGGCGAGATACCATTCGAAAGCGTTTATACTCAACCCTTTCATGAATGCTTCTACTCAGGTCCAGAAATGGAGTATGAAAGATCTACGTATTATTATGAGACTGATGACAGCATTGTTATCTAGGTAACCACATGAGAAAGATAAGTCAGCACATTCTATGTACCTGTTCCGCTAAAGAACTAGGTTCCAGAAGTTCAGATTCACCTGACTGCAGCGTACCGATTTTCAACAGGTATCATCCAATTAAACCATGGCTCTCATCAGAGGGTGTGGCTTGTACGGTAAACTATAAGTTAGATATAAAACCTTGTTTTAATTAGTAGAGTTAGTGGTAGAGTAACTACCATGCTTTTCAGCATGCCTACTCAATCGGATTTAGAGCGAATAGCCGTTCACACACAAATTGAAAATAACGGTAGAGTGGTAGAGTAAAGTACAGTTGAAAATTTAAAACACAACCGTCGTCGTCGTAAAAGTGTTGTGAGAAAGTGTTTGATAATTATTTCTGATATTTTACTGAGGGTAAAGACCTTAGCTATGAGGAAGAAGAAAATAGAATAAAGAAAATATGGACAAGAGACAAATGAAGCGTCTGCTCTTCTTTTGAGAAAACTAGCTGAAGAAGACAAGCAAGAGTCTAAATTGTTGATAAGAATGAGTCCAGAAAATTTTGAGCCTCCACTTGAGATGGTCACTTCAAATTTATTCCACTTTTTATACTCGTCACTTGCGATATTCCAACGACATTCGTATTCCCCATACAATTCAACTAATTTTATTGTTTATGATTCGGACCACTTTATGTTTTTAAATGCACCACAAATAAAAACAATAAACAATCCGCTGATGAGATGATATCTTAATCAGTATACACTCTCGATTACACACAAACCCACCCAAAACTATTTTTATTGTTAAAGTAGCAGTAGAGTGGAATATAAAACGGTGGTAGAAGAAGGCGAGTGGGCGAGTTACTTTACCACCGTGCAATCTTACTTTACTCTACCAAGATCCAGAACTCTACTCGACTAATTACATTTTCATTGGTAGAGCTGGAAGGATAGTTAGTACTTGCCCAGCGTACTCTACCGCTAACTCTACTAATGAAAACGAGGCTTAAGCCATCTGGGTCGCATTGGATGAAGATGAATCATCCCACTCATTTTCAACTCAACCTAACCTATGCTTGCGTACAAGTGGATAAAATGTTTGAAATCTATTAATAAAGCTACATTATTTTTGAATAAATTACAAGAATCACTATTTAATTATGGGTTCACTTATTTAAAATTTTAGGTTCGCTTGCTTAGATGTCAAAATAAAGACGCCCCCTAATTAGATTTAAAAGAATTTGGACATTATTTGTTCCTGTCCACCTGAACCTTTTCATATATATTATGGGACTTCGTTATTTAGAATGTGTCTTTTTTATTAGACTTAGCTGCCTCGACAGTGATGGCTCCCGCATGTAAGTTACATGCGTCAGGCTTTTCTTCGCATAATGTTAGAAACCTCAATTAAGCCTGGTATTCACACTGGCAGAAGATGTGGATTCTTCTTTCTCTTCTTCACAGAACTTGCACTGTGTTGCTTCTACTGCTGGATTGATGACAATCAGGTGCCTCTTAGGAAAGAAGACATACTGTTATCCTAACGATTTGTCTTTTTGATCCAGTAAGTCTTTCACGAAGTTGGTCGATGATTCCTTAATGAACTGTTTGACATGTTTCAATTCTGGCTAATTGTTTCACCATTCCTGAGACTCTTTTTGCATACATTGTTCGATAGATGCCTTACACAATGCCTTAACAATCCATAGAAAGATTCGGGGCCTGTCATTGCCTTAATATCCTTTGTGGCCTAGTACCCAGGCGAAGATGCCCTTAATACTGCTTAAACTTTAAATCACGTCCAATAACTCTCCATTATCGAAACCTATTATTAATTACTCGTACACAATTAAGGCGGTGTACTGATGACATCAATTTCGATATATCATTTAAATTTTTAAATAATTTATTATTCGATTTTTGATTTATTTATACGATTGGACCATACACATTATTTTCAGCGTTCCAAAATATAATTTATCAATAATAATAAAAACG